CATGGTTCTGGGGCTGCTTGCCACCTCGCAAGGCAGGGTGCAGGGCGGCCAAAAGAGCAAAGTTGGAGGCAGTCTCTTACCTTACTGATTTAATACAAAGGCTTGATCTATTGTAAAATAGCCATGCTTGAAGCCCACTATGCTACTGCTATTCCACTATGATGTTATTTCCTGAAGCCCAGTCCTCTACTTGGAGCAAAAGAAGTTCAGTATATAATTTTGCTACAACATCTATTGCACTAATTGGTCTGTAATTAGAAGGTTTATGCTGGTCCCCTTTTTTGAAAATGGGAATAACGGTGTACAGTACTAACCTTATAATAAATTGTTAATTGAATTGAACAAGGCAGTAAATATAGGGACCTTCATCCCTTATAACATGGTTAATCAGAATTAAAGTTACCTATCAAGTGATATACTTCCAGGTGTGTAACTGAAGGCCATGGGTTGGTATTTATAAGTACCCTAAGGTATAAATACTGGAGAAATCAGTTCCTCTTTCCAGATCATAGAACATATCCCATCCACCCCAAATCAGAAAGTTTAACTTCTCACCTAGATTACTTCTAGCATGTTAGCAGAAAAAAGAAACACAAAAGCCCAGGTGCACATTAGTATAAAAGATCATCAGACACTAAGACAAAATAAGATCAGAAAACTACCTTTACCTGGATAAAATTTAGGATAATATGCATGATGATAAAAGAGAGCCAGTTTGGTGTAGTGGTTAAAGCATCAAACTAGAAACTGGGAGACTGTGGGCTCTAGTCCTGCCTTAGGCACAAATTCTGCTGGGTGACCTTGGGCCAGTCACTCTCAACCCTAGGAAGAAGGCAGTGGCAAATCATTTCTGAAATCTTGCCAAGAAAACTGCAGGGATTTGTCCAGGCAGTTGCCAAAAGTCAAGACTGACTTGAAGGCACGTGTACAAGCGTGCACACACACAAGATGTATGATGATAAAATCTATATAAAACTAGAAGCCTAATCTCCTCATAACCCAAGTGGAGCATAGAAGGCAATTGCAGTTGGTTCCAATATGACCCTTTGCCACAGATCACAAGACCTGTGTATCTTACTTGTTAGGCCTGTGAGTTGCCAACTACAGTATGAGGACAATGCAAAACAGAACTCTTACAGATCCTTAAATCTAAATTAAAATATCCCCAAAAGAATAGGAAACAGACACAGGCTAAACTTCAAAGCTAAAAGATTATGATCTTATAAGGAGCAAGAAACTAAAAACACTTAGGAAAACTGGAAGCAAAGGCACTTGGCAAAGGTGGCTAGCTGGCATCAAACTAAACCAAGACACCAAGTACAGAGCTGGTTACAGAGTTGTATCCACAAAATCTATATCATGGTTACTTGGAGTTTGAATAAGTCTTATTTCATAAGGAGAGATTAGGTTTGAGACAAGCAGGCAATATTTTCTTGTTCATCAGTAAGTGGATGCTAAGTGTCTAAGTTCAAGAATTCCCAACCCCAGGATGAAGTAGCAGAGTTTGATGCTTGTTATGCTAGTTGACCTGGCTTCTCAGATTTATTCAAGAACTCATTCTAATTACAGGGCTTTTTGTAAATATTGTTTACAAATATTTGGGAGGGAGGGGTCAAAATCTGGGCGCTGCATTAAGCACTAAGGCTATTTAGTGCTATCACTGCTTTATGGCACTGCCACTTAGAGATGTAAACTTCTTATCTATCTATAGCTGTTTTACTGTACCCCAGCTGAAGTTCTGCCACTAGTCTTGCCCTCCAAGACATCCTTAAAGAGTTCCAAGTCTACCTTCACAATAGGTCCTTTAGTAAATAACCTGTTATTTTTCATCATTACCTAGATATCATGGTAACTGATACCTGTTTATGCAACTTTCCATCACTGTCAGCTGCTCAGTAGTTTTTCTGTTTTGTTCCTGCAAAGTATCTGGTTCCCAATCACAGACTACTTCTAGACATGGAGGCTTGTTTTACTGTCACATCTTCCTATAGCTTATAATATAGCTAACTTCCTCCGTTAATTTGCTCATTTTTTAAAGCCTGGAACTCCTGGGGTTTAGGGCCAACAAGGATTTTTTTTTCTTTTTCATCTCTCTCCTTCCCACACAAATTAAAACAAAGTTTGTTCATAGTGTGAACTCATCTTTGTACATTTCCTTCTTCAGAGAAATTTGGGATTTTTCTTCTTTCAACTTCCTTGATCATCCCCCTTCCCCCCAAGAGTTCACAACCTTTTGTCAAATAAAGTCAACATTATTTCCAAGGTCTGAAATTCATCACCACGTCTTTCTAGACTCAAATTGTTCTGGAGCTCTTTCTCCTAGGTCCTTTCTTTTCTCTTTAAAATCCAATATCCCAGTCCTTTACTAAATTATATCTTGCTTTTTCACTCTACAATTCATTGAGTATCGATTCACTGCATTTTATCAACTGCCCATCAGGAAGCAAACCGATATTCACTTCTCATTCCAAAATAATACTTTATGCACTTTGAATAAAAGCCTCCATTTGGAGCCATCCTTAATATAGCTGATTTCTTACCAAGCAGCAATATCCAAAATTTGATGGTTTCATATCAATTGTCCTCCAAGTAATTGCAGGGATTAAGAAAACATTTTTCAACAACCTAAAACTGTAAAGTTGGATTGTTTTTGTTTTGCAGGAAAACCATCGGCATCAGCTTATCTTCTCCCACAAAAGTGGAAAATTATACCTGTTAATATTATGTAACTGCTAAAATATGTGTGTTATACATTTATTCTTTTTTTTTTAATCAAAACTTTTAAGAACCTAGCTCTCAAAACCTTGCCATCTGTTTTTACAAAATGGCAGATTTAGTCTGCTCAGGAAGCCATACTGTACTTTATTTGCCACTTCTATTAAAAGGTAAACAAATGATCACACTTCACAGATATCAGTGATGCTTAATGGGGGAAATGAAGCTTCGGGAAATGAGGGGGAAACGGGAAATCCGTGGAGGAAATGGAGTCTCAGATTCAGCCTCAAGTTAAATCATACCACCTCCGAATCACTTAGAGTCAAAACAATTTCCGAATTTCTGAATCAGGGCCCAAACTGAATCTAATAATCACGTACATCCCTATCTGTTTAGGTAAAGCATAAGTACATTTAACACTTTAGTTTTTAAATGTTTCCACAGAACATTAATAAACATTCACCACTTGTTTCCTCTGCATATTCCTCTAGAATACCAAAAAAAAAACAACAACCTGGGGGGTGGGTGGGAAAGAAGATAGGAATATATCATCCAAAACAGGAAACTTTAAAAGGAGATAGGGAAGCAGTTCAGCAAGTTCTTCTAGTGCTCAATCCATTTCTGAATTCTGTTCGGTGCTGAGATGTTTATTTTGATCAGTTCATGCTTTAGCAAAAATGAGCAAACCGCTGGAAAGATACCTTGTGGAGATGGCTGAATAATATGAATAGTTGCTGGACTATAAGCTGAGCATGAAATAATATGCAATTGCTGCTCTTCCTCTAAAAATATTTGTTTTGGAAATATTTCCTGTTATTAGAACATAACAGGGGTTAGAGAGAGTCATATTGGAAGTCATATTTTCATACGTAAGCACTACAGTATATAGTATATATATTGACACACTGGCACAGAGGTGGAGCAAAATCATCACCATCAGCCTCAGAGGGCTTTGTGTTTGTTTGGGGTATCATTTCTCCAAGATATACTGCCATGGAATAGGAAGCTTTCATTTAGCTAACAATGCTAACGGTTACCAGTAATGTATCAGCTATTTATTTGTACAATCAAACTTGGAAAGAAAAGTAGCGGTGCGTTTGAGTGACTTCGCCGCTGAGCGCGCCGGTGTTCACCCTGCAGGAACAACCTGCTTGATTTTTCGGCGGTGCGACTGAGGGAGAAAAAGACGTTCACACCCACAGCCACCGAAATCGTGGTAACGTCCCTCTCCGGCCTGCCTAAAGCTAAGAAATAGCTTCAGTTCTTTGAGGCTGAGAGGTGCCAGGAGGGTGGCCAGGATTTGCAACACAGCTTGGTCTAGCTCCAGGGCTCTCGCCAGGGACCGATTCCCGTTTTCCCCAAGGATGCCTCTCATTAGCATGGGGGGCGGAGGGGGGCGGGGAGGGCCAAAACAGAGAGAGAGAGAGAACGAGAGATTGCCTGCCTGACTGGCTCTCCTTTGCAATGACATCCGAAGCCGCCTGGGTCCTGTGCTTCGCCTTGGCCTCCTCGCTCACCTCCTCCGGGGTAGCAGGTAAGTCTTGCCCGCAGGCTCAGGTAGGACGAGGAGGCGCTTCTTGGCGGAGGTAGAGCGGACGCGGTCCCTCCCCGCTCCGCGCGCCCTGCTGCCAAACTTCTCCTCAGCAGCGCTGCAGCCTCCTCCCCCGGCCGGGGCAGTAACTCTCCTCAGAGCCCCGAGAAAGGGCTGCCCGGGTCCTCAGCCCTCCTGGCGCGCCCGGCGGATTGCGTGCGAAGGAGGGCGAGCTTGCCGAGGCGCAGAAAGTAACTGGCGGGCGAACACCGGGTCTCTCCTCCGAGCTGCCTCCTGGCTTCAAGCTGCCTGCCTTTCTCCCGTCCCTGCCCTGCGCAGCTTCGAAGCACCTCGTTTTCCTTTCTTCGGGGTGGGGGCGGAGGCGGAGGGGGCTTCCTCGTCTCTTCCTGAGCTGTTCCTACCGACCAAGCGTGTTTTAGGGGTGTGCTCGGCTCGCGGAGGGCTGACAATACGGAGACCCACGTGGATGGGTTGCCACAGCTCGAGAGGCGGCAGGTGGGACGAGGAGGAGACGGGGAGAAGGCTCGGCTTTCCTTCCGTCATTCACTTGAAAGGAAGCCCCGTTGGCTGAGGAGGATCTGGGCTGGGAAGGTGTGTGTGTGTGTGTGTGGGGGGGGCAAATAAGGCAGAAATTGATTTTCTGTGCGGTAAGCGGGGCGGGGGGGGGGGGGGGT